AAAGTGATAGTTTTAATGGAAATTTGTATATTTTGTAGAGAAAAAATCTTAGCGTTCATATATATTGAAAGATAAATAGTTGTTGAGGTAATGGTGTGACATTTCTTTACATATTTCAGTCTATTCGACGAAAAGCAGCCTTCAATATTTGATTTATTTAATTAAATATCATAATTTCTCAAGTAAAAATAATACTAATGCTTACAAAAATATTTTCAAAAGTTCTTCAGAACAAAATGCAACACTATAAAAAAATATATATAGTATATTCCAACTCGACGTTGATAACTACTGTATTCCTTGTTGCAGAAAAAAATGCTGTTAGCAAAATCACACTTATCATGCTTGAAATGGCATTTTCTAAATAAATATATACATGTATGTATATATTTATATATTGTACTTTATATGTAAACATATACAATGCATGGAAATTTTATTGTATATCTTTTAACACATTTGTAAAATATAAAATTTACATAAAAGTCTTTCACTTGCATGATTTTAGGAATAAATAAGCAAGTTGTTTTTGCACGCACTTGCTGGCAAATATTTAATTATTCAAATAATATAAGACAGCAAGTTATTTACTAGTTAATTTATTTGTTTGTTTAACAAATGGTCGATTAAGAACTTTCAACTATTTCCGGCAACGGAAATTTAGGCGAAATAACAAAATAATTCACATTTATTTAATTGAAAGAATGATTGAGTTGTTCAAACGCAAATCTACTAGAAAGCAATTAAGATAATCAATTTGAAATAAATGATGCCAGAAAATATACATATGTATATTTAATTTTTTATTAAAAAAAAAACTATGTTAATTTTTTTTGAAGAGTTTAGGCGATATTTAAAATTTTTTTTGACCGCTACGATATATGCGAAAAGGTATTATTATCTAGGTTAAAGCGCAGTAGAATTTCCGGATAGTGAAATAAGAGCAAGTTAAGCCACTTTTCTTGCTTTGGAGATATTGAATGTGTTACGGACCGATCTAGGACGGAGTTGAAGAAAAAAACGCATATTAATTGGCCGAGTTCAAAATCTAATTTCTAATTTTTATATTACAACCGGCAGTTAAGGAAGGTATTCAATAATTCGACACATATCCGAATTAGTTTTGATAAAAGAACAGTGGATCAAACGTTTCAGATGGCCTAGTAGATAGATAGATAGATAGATCAAGCGCAATAACCATCTAAGATAACGAGTAGCAGGTTCTTTTAGATCGGTTACAGTCCTTATATTGCCAATGCAGAAATCGTCTTCTATAGTATAAGTTCACAAAAAATTATTCTACGCAAAAAATTTAGAAATACTAATATTTTAAAAATTATCACTTTTTACATGGCTTAACAGAAAACGCTTACAAAATTTGAACCAGAAAAGCATGCGCTCTCAAGTGTATTAAACAACAGTTTTTTTGTAACAAATTACGTATCTTTTTGCAATATAGTTCATGTTATGCAGCGCAGACCCCTAAAAGTAGACAAGAAGAATGTAGCAAAACATTTTGCGGTCTTCACCACAACTGACGCCGTGCTCACACGTCACATTATGGCTTGCAATGCCGGCATTATTGCCACATAAAATTCACGTTGAATAGCGGTACGCTTTAACACTTGCAAATAGTTGGGCCAGAGACAGCAACGGACCTCGGTGCGCCATGAGCGGTGCCAACAGTTAAGTACGTTTGCTGGCAAGGGCAGCGGTGGGAAGGCAGGCAGTCAGCTAGCGAGCCAACCAACCACAGTGTTAGTAAAGCTGCTGCGGCTCGCCAAGGAATTTCTAGCGCCACAGCGTACAACAATAGCATGGCAGTGAGCTGGAGCTGCGACAGTGGCGGCGGTGGTGGGCTGGCAGCAGGAACAGCTTAACGACAGTAACTGCAACAAATTGCTGGCAACACACACGACACAATAGTCAACATCTTGCCAGCTATTTGAGCAGTGCACAAATACTGGGAGGGAGGAAGCGACACACACACTGGCAGATACGCTGAGACGCTAACAGACAAATCAATTACGAAATGCAAGCAAGAACAAAAAAAAAAAAAAAATTAAGGAAAACTAAAAAAAAGAAGGAAAGGAGTGTGGATTACGGTGATGAAAAGGGTAGTAGCTTGGCAAAGTGTGAGCAGGTGGAGTGTGAAGGCGCAGAAGCATGCGGCCAGAACGACATGTGCAACGTGGCGTATAAGCGACATGCAATGCTGCACGGGCTCTTGGATGAAGTGGCAAGCCTTTCGCCGTCGCTCAGAGCACAGGAAAAGGAAGAGGAAAATCAGCAAGCCATGTTGTACACGTAGCTTACGTAGCATGTGCATGCCGTTATGCTGGAATGTGTGCAAGGAAGAAATGTGCAACAACAGTGGTTTTTTTGCAGCAGGCAAATGACGGTCAGGTGAGAAAAGCAGGCGTGCAGGCGAGTGCAGAGAAGATAGTCAGTTGGCTAGGTAGAGCGGCAAGAAGGCAGACGTGCGCATAAATTGCAATGCAGACTCACAGCCAGTTGGGCAGGCAGGCAGGCCGGCAAGGAGTCATCCAGCCAGCAGTGATGATAGACACGGAGGTCGACACGCAGTCAACGCGCAGGCAGTTCGGTTATCCAATTCCATTATCGCGTGCATTAAAACGATTTTTCATGTGCGTGCCCGGCTTCTTTTTGCACCGCCTTAACATTCCACTCTGTCATGGGTTTTATTTCTCGTTTGCTTTGCCGGCAATTTTTTCTACACAATCTCGCTTCCTGCAACTGCTTCGGTTTGGCAACAGCACCTTGCCTTGTATTGCCTGCCGCATAATGGCAATGGCAATTTTTATTTAACTCTTATTAAAACAGGCGTGAAAGCGATAATGGTCCTTCGGGGTTGCAGAGAGCTGGCAAATAGTCGCCGTGGCGTATTGTAACCTGCTTCTGCGGTGGGCAGGCGTTGCGGCAAGCAGCCGCGGTTGATACGAGTAATAAAGTGTGGCGCTTGTAGTGTGGAAATTGGCGAAATTAAATAAATGTCAATGTGTGTCTGTGTGTGTGTGTGCATGTGGTTAAAGGTGGATACAATGAAAAAGCGATGTGCGCAAATTGCAAACTAAGTGATGAAATGTATAAAATATTGCGAATTCATTGCAGACATGGATTTTTTGGTTGTACAACATGGCATATGATAACAAAAATTCAAATGTATATATATGTATAAGGGCAGTTGGATGTGCCGAGCATAAAAACTTAACTTCGAGGGTAAAAAGAGCAGTGGTTAAATACATAAGGCGTATAAGGCCTATGGTGGTAGCGCCTCGCTGTGTCAATGAGAGAAAGAAATGCAGCTAGTTAGCGGTATAGCATGAACAAATGTTACAAATTCACACATTGTGTTAAAAAATAATATTTTTGTAGGCTATAATTTCGAAGCAGTAACTCGTTTTTTTTATTTTAGAAAAATGGTGTTAATGATGTTAGTTTGGATATAAAATGTTGAAATAAGTTCAACTTTGCATCAAATAAATAAAAAGAGATTAAAATTTTCTCCACAGACCCAAAAATTAAGATAACATTAATTTGAGATGTTACTAAAGGGAGGGTTTTCAAAAGATTTATGTATTTTACTGAAGTTCTTGTGCAGCCGGTATAGGCACAACCAACCGTTGGCTACAAAAAAAGTCTAGAGTGCTTATACGGTTTTGTAGTTGAGTACTTTTAGCTGATATCTAGGTTAGGTTAGGTTATGAGGTCGATCCCAGAAGGGATCCCACTTGGACAGCTTAAGACGCCAGTCCGTTGTGATACCTACGACTCCTATAGTCCGGATCAAAAGACCCTTACAAGTCGACAAGACGTCTTGTGCTGACTACAAACTTGTTAACACGGCCAATATCCATTACGGATAGGTATTCAGGACCGCCAAACGTGTGATTGCCGAGATATTTCAATCGCAGCCTAGCGAATGCCGGACATTGGAGGAGAAAGTGCTGGTATCTAAATTTAGATAAAAATCACCTACGTGAAGCTCTTCTTAATGGAAATTGTTTGTTTTTTGAATTAAAGACTTTTCGTCACCGAATCTATGTACATAAATTTGAGAATATTTTTTGAAAATTTGAAGTTGATCCGGCAAATACCTGAGTGCAAACGGCTTTCAATACTTAAATGCACCTTTCTTGAAACGTTGTTATTAGAGTAAGTAGTCCAAATTTCTCCGAAATGGCGTTCAGAGTTTTCACACGACTTTTTAAGATATATTTGATCGAAGGAATAACTTTTTTGATTAGAAGTTCGATTTTTTGAAGCTACTCTGGAGTATACATTTTTTCACAAAAACACAGGCTATTTTGTCAAAAATTAAAGATTCTAATTCTTCGATCATTACCTATATTAATCGATAATAATAATAAGATTTTTTTGTTTTTGGACTTAAGAAATTTTTAAGTAGAAACTACTGCTCACGGAAATATACTTTTTTTCGGGCTTCCTTCTGAAAATCCATTAGGGGAACAAGGGAAACCGAAATTTTTAAAAATTAATCGCTAATTAAAGCTGTAAATGCACAATTTTTAGTTACATATTAAATAAAACAACACTTAAAAAAAAATTAAAAAAAGCGCATATTTTCCGAGTTGCAAGTGAATATAACCTCCTAATTTATCAAAATAAATTTCTAAAATATAAAAATATATAAAAAGCCTAAATAATATATATTTCGTAATTAATTTATGAAGTACTTTTTATATTGGTTTTGCATCCTAATTTACATCTCAAAAAGACCAATAAGCATAAATGCAAATATATTCAGTTACATAAAAATATGCGCGAGCAACAGTTTGCTTATCTCAGCCGGCAATTTATATTTTATCGGAAGGTTATGGTGGTGCTTACGTACACGAGTACTTGAGCCGATATTTGATATTAAGACGACGATATATACATATATACTAACATGCAAACATACTACACACATATACACACAATTAAATGAATATATCTATATGCGTATAAACACTTACGTATAATAAATATGTTTTTGGAGAAATGTTTTGCCTGAATATCCAGTGACTGCCAACCAGCAAAATATGCAACTCACAGTCTGACTTTGACATTATTGCCTCCTAAAACAGTTCCTCCCATTCGCCATGCACTTCAATGCAAATTTCATCACCCTCCACCCATCCAGTTAGTCACCTAACAATTCGATATTTATTATTCATACATGTATGTACACATGCATGAACACATGGCTCACACATACATACATACATTCTTAGTCGTTGTGGGTGAATTTATACCTTGCGTATTTTTATTGCAAAATATTACCACAGACAATATTTTCATGAATATTCCTTACACATTTTCGCATCACGTTTCCAACTGAGTGTGTAGGCGTGACATTTACTTACGTCGTTTGTGCGTTTGTGTGTCTGCGTTATCGTTATACGTTTATTTATATGCTTATTTCCTCGGCGGCATGTTATCAGTTACAGGATGGCGCAATCAAATGTGTGTCTGTGTTAGGCGGTCGTATTAGTTCGCATGTAGGAGTAAGTGGGCTGAAGGCGATTCTGATATTCTCGAGTTATACTTGTATGTACATACGGCTATATTTTGTATATTTGTTATACTAGAAAATTTTTTTACATACAATCCCAGCAGGAAATTTTTGAAAATTCACTTGTTTGACAACCTAACGGCATAATATTTTTATGTATGAAAAAATATATGAAAAAAAAACTGTACAATAAGGGTATATGTAATAGGGAAGAGGTTCGCAAAAATCCCTCGCCGAACCCTCTCCGAGGTTGCCGACTGGTAATAGATTGGACAGTATTACGACGATGTCAGAAACGGGCTGGTAACAGTTCGCCCCTGTTGCAGTTGGAAAGTATCCAGCTAAGGTCTGACATTTTATGTGGGTGTTCGTTGCCTCTCAATAGCACAGCATTCGGATAAAAAGGTTGTCTTGCGACCCGTACCGAAAATCAACCTGGCGATGGGCCCTTAAATAGCCTAGTCTCAAACGGAGCTTACAGATAATTGACGCCCTTATTACACTCTAAAATATGAACCAATACTATAAAAACCAAGACAAAGGATTAAAGTAGTCCGGATGTCCTGGAAAAAAAAACCGGAGGCAACTAGTTGTTCCGAGAAGAAGTTAGCGTTTGTACTGAGCTCGAAAACAGTCAGCACAAAGACAGGAGCGAAGTTTGGTCTAGGTGAAGGGGCTTTCACTAACAATGGAGCTGAAGCTAGGCCTAGCTTCAGGAAGGTAGCAACACCAACAGCAGCCGGTACTAAACGCTGTAGCCAAAGTTTTGCTACAAAGCAGGGAGGAGATTAAAAGTTTTCCATACAAAAGCTTGATTTTCATCGGTTAGTTTGTATAAAAAATATATAGTATATTGATCCGATATCGGCGATTCCAACAAATGAGCAGCTTTTTGGGAGGAAAAGCTTATATGGTATACAGACAGACAAACGGATATTGCGAAATCGGCTCATCTCGTCACGCTGATCAGTTATGTATATACTTTATAGGGTCTTCGACATTTACTTCTGGCTATTACATACTTGATGCCTAACTTTGCCCTGTTCTGGTTATAAAAATTAAGTAATTTTATGTCATCTTGGCGCTTGAACCTTTCTTTTTTCCTACGGGACTTGCTTTGCTTTCCATAAAGTCAAAAGTCTTTATTACACAGAGTATGCTGAATTTACATATGATTTTGTCGATTTCACAATCATGATATCAGCATATACATACACTACTATGGATATATATTTATCCCGCATATTGCTTTTCTTAGAAGCATCCAGCTGAGGCCTGCGTCTCGCATTAGTTGTCGTTTATGTAGATATGTCTGGTACAGAAGCTGGAATTGCATTCACAAATTTCCTATAAAATCTTCTTATCGACGAATTGCAAGTGCTTGCAAGACGCTACCGATTGCAAGCAGAAGAAGGAAAAGTTATACAAGTTCTAATCGAAAAGGATTTGCTGATATTACCGAATGTTTGCAAGAGTATGAATTTTTGCAACTCACATACTTGTATACTATAAAGAGAATATGAATAGAAAAGGCGTCAGTTTATGAATGTTACTTGAATAAAGTTGAAGCCAAATAAAATTCAAAGTCACAGAAATATAAAATTAATTGTAGTAGTGATAGCATAACTAAAGTATTGATTGCAATAAATAAAATATTTTGTGAATATCTTAGTAATTTTGTACCAAGAAGTTTTCATTACAATTTATTATTATTATATAATTATATATACATATATATATATCTATTTGTTATATATATTATATATTCGATATTCGGTGGATGAAAAACAGTTCGAGAGATTTAGATTATCTGAGGTCTCTACACCCTGTACCACCTTGAGGCAATGGAAATGACATTTTTTTTTCAAAAATCATATATAGTATGCATAATAACACTCCTAAGCATAAAAAATTACTCACATATAAAAGTTGTCCAGCTCTCTCACGCTTTAGTGTCAATTCTACACTCACAGCGCAAAAATAAACTGAAGCGAGGTGTTCGGGGAGCAGCACTTCATTGTCTCGCAGAGCTAAACAAATGTCAGCGCTGCAATGACACAATTTGAATGTTGCTGTCAGCGTTGTTGCCACTACACCATTGGCTATTTGAAGTGCTGCTGCCACATTATGCTGCAAGCGACCGTCGTGTGGCAGCTAGCGCCGGGCTATTGTATTTACAGTTGCTCATTTCGCCAACCTTTCGCCACAGTTGTTTAACTTTTTTATAAGCGAATGCACTTCAATGCAATTACCGTTAACGTTGCAGGTGCGGCTTTTGTGCATATGTTCGCTGTGGATGGTAGGTGCTGCAGCAGCAGTGTTGCTAGGTATGTGTTAGTAAATATTTGGAATGGTGATGTAGGTGAGGTTTTAATATAATGCTCATTTGTGCGATTTTTTACAATCTTTGCTTTCATGTTTTTTTGTGTACTTAAAGTTTAAGTGTATAAGTGATGTTGCAGGCATGTTCAAAACACGGTTCAACATAAGTGAAGTCAAGTTTTTTCGAGTTATAAATACATACTTGACACCAAATGATTACTACCTGTTCCTGTCTATGGCGAATGAATTTGCTGGGGAAAAAGTCGTCTCAAGAGCAGTTTGCGAAAATCGACTGTCTCAGCTTTTATTCAACGGAGACGAGGGTTTCTTTGAGAGTGGCATTGTGATATTACCTTCAAAATGGCAAAAAATTATCGAACGAAACAGTGCATATTTGTTCGAAATGTGACCGATCTAATTATGCAAAATACACATTTATTGAATGCAAAAATTATTTATATCAAACGTTATATGTATTTAAGCAGTACTGTCTCTCATTTAGCTTCGTCAAATACTTGACGCAATACTGGGTGTAAATTCAAAATTCAAATTACATTATAACAGTTCACATATTTAGGTCGTAGCTGTGGTATAACCCTTTAAGAGGACGGAAATGACGACCGGCCTTATCGTACGATACCAAATTGCAGAAACTCTTATCAGTTGCCATTTTAAGCACAGGAAACGGCATACTCGCCCTTGCAAACAAGCACATAAGCTGTTAAGTAACCCAAAAAAAAAGTTTACATAACTGGCAGCCAGTTGAATTTACACACACATACTCACCAGCAAAAGCACAGTTGCGAATGCCGAAAAAAGGGAAAAACTAAAAAATGAGTAATCTTAAAATCATGGCTTTAGGGCACTTCGATAAAAGCGGATGTAAATGCTGTGTCCCATAAAGGGCACGATATAATAGAGATTACTTTACTTTTTTTCACAAATACGCCAATCGATTTGCTCAACTTTGAATAGAGGCAAAAAATGGACAGCAGTTGTCAGTGCGCAAAGTAGCAACTGGATATGCGTACAATAACAACAAACAGCCAAACTAATACAAAAAGTCTCCCCTTTGTACAATGACAGTACATCAAAATGCTATTATGAGCTTTTTACAGTTTAAAAATGTGTGTATTTTTTTGCAGTTGTTGCTAAGACTTTCATCACTTGCTTGTGTTGAAATACGATTTTTCCCGTACCGTTTAAAAAGTAATTTTTGCTCAACCTTGCTGCTTTGCTATGTAAAAAAGTAAGCTCTCACCAGGAAATTAGAGATCTGTTATCTGCGAAAAAGCAATCTATTATATGATCTCTTCTTTTTAATATTACTTGACCTTTCCTGCAGTGTTTGTTTCATTTATGTTTTTTCTTAATGATATATATTTGTCTTTTTTTGTTGCTGTGACACGTATTGGCAATAATGACGAAGAATTTAGAAATAAATACTTCTACAAGGGTACTGTATATTTACAAGATATGTTATATTGGCCATCATCGATTCACTATTTCTCTGCTCGCTAAAATTAAGCACTGCTGTCTTGTTAAAAATTTTACATGTAAAAGCAACAACAAAGTTAGAGAGTTGTAGTTAATACAAGAGAGTAGGCGGATACATCATACAAGTGGTATCCGTCTGCCCGTCAGTCTGTCTGTATATATGTGAACTAGTTAGTCACTAAGTTTTTGAGATATCGATCTGAAATTTAGCGTTCGTTCTTTTTTACTAAGAAGCTATTCATTTGTCGGAATGGCCGATATCAAACCACTATAGTATATAACTGCCATACAAACAGAGCGATCGGAAATAAATGCTTGTAAGGAAAACTTTTTCATTTATGAGATATCATAAAGAGATTTGGCATAGCTTTTTGTCAACGATGCAGTCTCCGAAGAAATTATTTGAAGCAAATCACTATAGCTGCCATAAAAACGGAACGATCGGAATCAAGTGCTTGTATGAAAAACTTTTTTATTTGACGAGATATCTTCACGAAATTTTGCATAGGCTATTGTCCAAGGCAATGGGAAAGGCCAAGGCAATCTCCGAAGAAATTGTTCAGATCGAGTCACTATAGCAGCTAGCTAACCTACAAACAGTCTGATCAAAGTTCTTGCAAGGAATCTTTTGTATTTGTGAAGGGTGTTATAGCTTCTGTGCAACCGAAGTCATAATTTTTTCTTGTTTTTACTGAGTTTAGAGAAGTTATACTATTGTGAATGGTGATTTAGCTCAAATATGCACAGTTTGTTCGATAACTTGTTGCCATGTGAAAGGTAATAAAAACAATAAACTTTGGTAGTCAATTTTCACAAGC